TACTAATAACAAACCTGGAACTCATTCGGTTGCAGCTTGCCTTCCTTGGCACGGGCAGCCAACTCCTTAATCTCATTTGATATCGTGGCTAGACCCTAAAGTTGCAGGTTTTTTATGAGTGCTCAAACAATTCCGAAACTGAACATGAAACGTAAAGAGGCGCCAAAAAATTTATTGCAAAAAACTCAAAAGACTCAAAAGAATCCAAAAGTTCTTGCAAAAATTTTTGTTTCTAATACTTCCTTCGAATATTTCGGTGCCTAGCACCTTCCTCAGCGATCTGAAATACTATAGTTAGTCGTCTGCAACCGAATCCCGGATCTTGTCTTCAGTGGTGCCCGAACTGGACTCTGACCTGGTCTTCTGCCTCCAATATAGCCTCCGCCGCTCCTTGCAAAAGTGCGACTTCTAGTGTTGACTGTGACCCTACCCGTCACCCTCCTTAATAGTGAGGATGCCTAGCTCATTCATTTTTTGATGAGTCCCAAAAAAAATTTTTTGGGCGAACTTTTGGATTCTTTTGAGTCTTTTGAGTTTTTTGCAATAAATTTTTGGCGCCTCTTTTACGTGTTTCATGTTCAGATTGCAATGAGGCTCCGGGACAGCACCATATTAAGAAATACTGAAAATGATTGAGAAGATTCAGAACCGTCCATACCTTGGCATGTGCATTGAATACTATTGGGGTAATCAATCCCGCTGGAGTGCTCACAGCAACGCTGACATCCACGGTATTGTTTTGCCGGATGAACGAGTCCATCCAGAAGCTGTTCGCCTCGGGCACACGCAGGCAAGCCAAAGCGGATGCCTGATATTTGAGACTTCAATAACATTTATGTGAAAAAGCATTTAGTAACGAAATCGGCGAAACAAGTACCTTAACAATGAAATCGTTCACGGATATTTTCGTTATACCACCGGAGGTTCCTTGAGCAAGCAGAGCATTCAGCTTTTCTCGAACTCTTAAAGTTTTGAGCGATTTCATTTGATTTCCCATATTAGATACATATTTACTGCATATTTATACATATTACTACAAAAAGGTCAGTTACATTGACCTCCTATGGTCCCGTAGATAATTCTGCCCTAGGTAAATCCGCGAGCGTTGTGATCGCCGCGCTTGTCTCTCTTAAATGGCAACAGGCGAGTAGAAACCAACTGTTGCTACCATCGCAAAAATGAACAGTGAAGGAGCCTAACGGATAATCGAAGAATTGAGAGATAGAATAAAGTTTGGGGCAAATCATAAGAACGAGAATGGGATGAATTGACACGATGATGACATGATGACAATGGGATGAATTTCTACATCAAAAACACTGAGAAACTCTTAATTAAAGGCGGAACTCGCGATGAATTAGAAAGAGGTTCGTTGTGTGGGGACTAGAGATAGAAACGGTACGTGCCAAGTGGCTTGCCAGTGAATAAAAAAACTAAAGGCAACAGTCGAAAAGGATCAAAATCAGGCTTTCGCTGTGCTGAGCAACAGTCGCAAGTCGATATGGTTATCGAGGCAGAAGGCCAGTCAAAAGCGGCGAGAGAGCACGCAACCGTTAAGGTATCTGCTAACGAGGACAGAGTCACTGACTATCAGGCGGAGTCTCTCGTACAACCATGAGCCTCACTACTTTCCAGCTTTCTGACGCGAAACTTGTACAGGGTTGTTCGTTGCGGTTTCTACTAACTTCCCGTTCAAATAGTCAGCTTAGATACTTATGGTGATCGTGACCCCGTGTGAATGTTTATTAGCCAAAAATATTCGGGTTCAGGGGTAGTTTGATTCCACAGTACACGAATATTTCTAGGTGATTATTTCGATATCCATCTTCATAAACCAATCCTAGGGGCAAAAAAATGTTTCCGCCGAGACCCACTGAGGGTTACACGAACGAATAAACAGAAAAAGAAGGTGAACGTAATCAATAACTGATCAGAAAACGAAATTGGTGGAAAACGTACTTGAGTAGACTATCGATATTGATTTCGGAAGTCAGGTAATAATGCGGAATAGTGGTCTTGCTGGCTGTCAAGCGTTTGGCAATCGTACGGCGCATGTTTGAAAGAGGAATATCCTGAAGAATAAAAAATACTAACTTGAAATAGCCACACCACTGAAAAACAACCCTATTTTGAGTGTATTGTGCCACCGATCAACGAGAAAGTGTCACTTGTTTTGCCAACTTAGTCTTCCTTGGTAGTCCCTTTACACATCTTGAGACCTGCTTTTCGAAGATGAAAAATTTGGGACAAGGGGTATTTAATGTCGTAGGGTACACTTTCGGGGACTAGTCAAATCCTATCAGAGAGTGAGTAACTCGCAAGAGTTCTATGCAACAGAATTACCTAGGACCCCCTTCCAATACCTTCTAGCGAATGTGAAAATCATCTCGCCGTGGAGGGATGAAACAAAGCAGTCGGCTGGTCTCTATCTACACGGGTGGAAAGTTTCTATGTTACAATTTACCCACTTTACTATTACAAGGAAGGGTAATAACTGTCCGAAAAGCTTGCAGCCCGATGAAACAAAAGTCAGAAGTTAGCTAACAAGGAGGCCAAGTTCTACTTTCAGTTCAAGGTTACTGAAGATGCCGAATGATGTGGAACCGTCGGCATCCTCACTTCGTGTGTCGGACATGCGGAGCGAACCGAGAGTGCATTAAAGCTTTCCCGGAAAGACCTGGAATACACGCGCAAGGGCAGAGTCGTAAAGAGAATGAACTGCACAATACGAGGGCCGCATAAGCTCTAATGAACATTATAACTTTGACTAATAATCTAACAGATGATCTTGCAACATATTTTGCAAAAACTTTCAACGATTAAGACATAACACCTCCTTCGAAGTGATACACACTTACAGTGTAATCTGCACCCGGTGCAGCGGGCATTGCTGCAGGTGTAGCAGGAGCACTAAGTGGGGCTTTAGCCAGATCGGCTGCGAGGACACGACCTCCAGGACCTGACCCAGCCACATCCTGTAAGAAAAAATAAAGTATAGAAGCATGGATAGAAGGAAAGACACTTACAGTAATATCCACTCCTCGTTCTTTGGCGAGCTTCTTCGCAAAGGGGGTGGCGCTTACACGTCCATCTCCAGAAACGGCAGTGGGTGGAGGCGGAGGAGGAGCTGGAGCGCTTTGTGCGGCCTAAACGCTATTCAGTGGAATGACTTAACTTAAATAGGCTTCTAAGAATGCATTCGCCCACTGGTGGAGGTGGAGGTGGCTCCGCTTTTGCAGCCGGTTTCGGTGGCGGTGGCGCAGCTTGAGCGGATGGCTCTGGAGGTGGAGCTGACGCTTCGTCATCCTTGAAGTCCTTGAACGCTTCCACGTCGGCTTCTTTCTCAACAATAATGCAGAGCAACTGAAATAAAGAATGTATGGTTTTAGAGAGAAAAGCCTAGAAAAGCAAAAGATGGCACCTACTTTTCCTACTGGGACGTCCTTAGTGCCTTCAGAAATAAATATCTTCGCAAGGTAGCCTTCTTCAGGAGTTTCGAAACCCATGGTTGCTTTGTCGGTCTCAATCTCGCATAGCAAATCACCTTCACTCAACTGATCACCCTCTTTCTGAATAGAAGCCGATTGAGTAATCTTGCAGAAGTGCAATGAAACACTGCCGTCACACGTACTTTTTGCCAGCTGATCACTGTACCCATCTCCATGGTGGGAGACAGAGCAGGCAAGGCTACACGTTTATGCGTCGGAAGCTTTCCTTAAAAAATAAATTACAAGCAACAAAAAAAGCAACCTAGACACTGAGTATATGGTTTACGACAAAAAGGTAAAAACTGATGTATTCTGATCATGTTACGATCAGACACTGACAGTATTTTCATTTTTATAGTATTTTTGATAAGGAAAAAGTCATTAATAACGTGTAGGACAAACTGATCACTCTTTTAGAAGTTGAGTTTGTTGGCCTACGAGAGCGCCTCGAAAACGGGAATCACGTGAAAACCACTTTGGGAGAACGCATCAACTTCGGGATTAGTGGGGCCTAGACCAGGCTGTAGGAACAGATAAAGATTATGGTAGGCTCTCCCGCAGTGGGCGTGACATGCATTGCAGTGGGCGGTACCGAGAAAGAAAATAAAACGATTCCAGAACAGCTCAGAAAAGCAGTAAAGTTAGCAGCGGCTCGCTAGATGAAATAAGGGAGCACACCTGAGGTGGGCAAGCAATGCATCAAATGGGGAGCGCCTGCTACAAAAACTCATAATTTCCGGGACAGGCTGGAGACCAGAGAAAACTGAGAGGAGAAGAAAAACTCTAAGATAAGCTGAAAGCACGTAAGGCGTGCAGCCTCCCAAGGTGAAAACCTACCATTGAGATTCGTTCATATTTCGGAATGTGTAGTTGAAAATATGCGGGAGAAGAGGTGAACCCGATGCTGATGTGAACAGCAGACTAGTCGGAAAATTCCAACGCAGTGAACAATAAGCATGCTAGGGTGTGAACTCGGTCCATGCACTATAAGCTTTGAGAGCTTACAAGCGAGCTGGGAGTTACTGGGGCAGCTGTAGTGGAACATTCGGCTCCCAACTGTCAGAACTGTCATAGGGACACGTTTGCCAACCAGCATGGGAAGTTCCTCACCACAAAGGGTACACTGAAACCTGCCGCCTTCTGATTCAAACATGGAATGCGGTCATATTTCGCCGTTTGGTCGTTCTGATCGTTAGGTACGAACACGCTATTATTAACATCGGCACAATGCAGCCCATATGACAGGAACCTGGGAAGTAGAGGAAGGGCGAAAAAAAGGTTGAGTGGTCCGAGGCGGAGAATATATTGCAGAAAAGAAATGTATGAGTCTCTTCAAAAAATTAGCCATTTGCCAAGAAGGCTCAGAATCAAGTTTAAAATCTAGGGTGCGTTACCTGTACAGATCAATCTGATGGCCCGTACGACGGCTGTTGGTCGAGGTACATTTGCTGATGAGCCGCCGAACAAGGGCGAAAGACGGGAAGTGGACGCCGCACGGCTGAAAGATACGTTTTGTGTCATACTTCTCTTCAGTACCTCAAAAAACCATATAAATCTTGCAGCTTCAACTCCTGCTGGGACAGTGTGCCCGTGGGTGGATCTACATACTCAGAACTTGTTTTTTTTTGGTGATCATCATCATAGTTTACTCGAATGCAGTCGGATATCATGACATCAAAGCATAATTTGGTATAGTATTAACCTTTTTAATATGCAAACACCATTAAATAAAGGAGGGTCTTTTTTGCACACATTAGCTCATGTTCCCGGGTTCTGGACTGCTTCAGAACCAAATCCTGAATCCTTTCCTTGACCGTGCCCACCTATGCAAGTTCTGTCCGCACCAATCATGCCTCCCCAAACCACTGCTTTACACACTGCGCACTTTCATTCACCTTTCACCAGTCTCAAACTGTTATGGACGGGAAATACGAACTTTTCGGTTTGGAGCCGCCCACCTCGGCGCGCCCCGTCTACTCTAGATTTGCCGTCAGTGAATTGACGACAAATGGCTGCGGCGCAAAAATCGAGCGCCATACTCGTAATCAGGACGCAACTAAGGCTGCGTTCACGCTTCGCGACTTAGGAGAGTCGGCATTCTGAAGATTTGCACTTCTATATAAAAAATCAAGTATCGATCGGCGCGGTCGCTATCGTTTTGGAATCGACGTTTATAAGGGTCTTAGGATATCTATAAACCGTGAAGCCTTCCTTCTCCTTGATTTCTCCTTCTTCCTTCAATCTTTTTCTTTCTTCCTTCTCTCATACCTCTTTCTTACTTTCCTTCCTCTAAATGCTCGACCAGAAGATGCGATTATGAAGAAGGGACGCCTGTAAAGGGTGCCCTTACAAACGTCGCTCGCTCTTCCATGACACCTAATCTATACTGCTATGATCCCATTCTCTCTGCAACTTCGCCTTCTATCATCGATACCTCTGCTTTCCTTCTGCACAAAACGCAGATCCTCCTAACGCGCAAACAATCCCAATTTATACCTACAATTCATTTTCGCATGAGAAGCCGATCCCCCTCCCCCCAACAACGTATAGCGGCGTTCACTTACAAAACTACAGTCGCTAAATGACTCCTCAGGGAAGATAAATGCAAAAAATCGTGGAGAACACCCCAAGGACCCCCTGTCATAGCGAGTTCGAAAAAAAAAACGAAAAATACTGTGTAGGAACCGACTCGTGACAGAAAATAGCTTCCGAGTTTTGGTGGGCGTGTTCACTAAAGAGGCGTCAAAACTGCCACTCAGGAAGGCCGTGTCAGAGCTGCCACTTATGAGGGTCGCAGAAACGGCTACTTACTGTGAGGACGGGAAGGGACATCCATACAGACTAAAGGCCAGCACTTGGAAAGAAAGCCGAATTGTTCGACGAGGGTAGTGTCGTTAAAACGCCGAGTCGATAACCCCATTTTTCTTATGGCGCGTTCTTCTAAAACGCTGTTTCCCATGAAACGCCAATGCTCGCGAATTGCGAGGGAGAAATTCAGTTGTGGCATTGAAAGCTGGAGAATGTCGGAAATTTTCACAGAAGATAATTAGTTACAACCAGTCACAGGAACAGACCTTTGAGGAGCAACGCTGAGATTCGTTGCGCTTGTTGCAGCGACCCCATAGCGAAGGCCACCGATAGTACGAAGTTGAAGTCCACGAGCAGGAAATTTTGACATCTTGCCTTACTCAGCCAGTACTAGCAGGATGGCTGAACTGTAATAGTCAGATGAGGTGACCGAACAGAAAGAGAACCTAAACCTCTCACCCTTCAAAATTTACAATCCAGCAGCAAGTTGAACCACCTCGCAAGGCAAGAACCCAGCCTAAACATACTGAATTCAGAATTTTACCTTAAACCTTTGAAAACTGAAATGAAAAGAAAGCAGGTGAAGACAAAACATAGAAAGAAACAAGAAACGTCGTCAAGCACACTGAAAGGAGCAATAAGAATAGTGAAATTCTCAACACAAGTAGCATTTTCAGGTGAAGCACTGGTTAGTATGGAACTCAGGCAACTGTAAAATCCGGAACCTGGAACATTCAACACCCTTTTTTGGGGGTTCTTCGGAGCCCGCTAGTTCCGCAAAGTTCCTCCTTCCCGCGTCCTAACAACGTCCGCGACACACTAACAAAGTTGACCAACTTGACGCTGTGTCTATCAGGAAATTATAGTCAAGTATCTCACAACGTCTAACATCTGAGAGGAAATGGCTAGGTGTCTGAGGTGATTTTCTATGCTACTGACCTCTACAACGCATCTTTCTGACCTTGAATAAGATAAGAAAGCCAATTTAACGCATAGAAATCAGCCACATGGCCACTACAACAAGGTCGCCCGTGTAAAGTGCAGCAGCGGACAAAAAAACTTGGAACGAGCCAGTGTCGCGCGATTTTTATTATTATACTTCTACCAGATCTTTCCAATTTGCCCATGGAAATTTTGCTTCCAAGATTGAGCGCACCTGAATATGCTGTTCTGTAATTGTTGTCAGTCGTGGTTACAACATAAGAAGCTTATCGCGGTATCGTGCGCCTGTACCGCGTTGAACAATGGATTAATTTTTGAAGTTTCTGAGGGTTTGGAAAGAAATGGTAGCTGTGCATTGCAGGAGAGGGTGTCGAAATGAAGGGCACAGCACACCGGAAAAGCCTGACCCGCCGCTTAATGAGCCCTGAGGCAAACTCATACCCGGCGAACATTTCGCCGAACGCAAGAGAACCTTTGTGGCCGTCTCATTATTGTGACGGCCGCTAACCGGGTTAGAACTTTAGTGGACGCAAAAGCTCGGAGTGTAAAGTTTCGAAGATTATAAACTAGCGCTCCTCAAGATGGGGTCCGCATTCCAGTTCATTTGAGAATGGTTGCGGCCTGTGGATGCGATGTTGGCCACGCTGAAACTCCTAGGGGATAGTCTATGTGGAAGTCAACGTATTCATTCTCCCAGACAAGTATGATACCACTTAGCTAGCCTACGAGAGGCGGAAAGCTTGACTGACTCGGTCCACGGAAGATTTGATCCTCGTACCGCGAACGTGGTGGGTGCCGCCAAATATTTCTACACCACCTCCGCTCTACCAAACTATCTATCGCTATTACATGAACACATCATTTCAATAAACACTGGCCCTCTTCTTGTTGAATCTTTAATGGAGAACAGATAAGCGAAAACAAAATGACATTTATTATCTTGTTCCAAGTTTTTTTTCCACTACTGTACGTCCACTTAGCAAATGCCATGACATCGAAGTGTCACGACACATAATGGCAAGGAAATAACGTCTTCCAATAACTACATTCCCACTTCATTCTTGATTTCATTCTCATTTTACTCTTGATAGAGGGCTTTTAATTATGAAGAGGGAGAGTTTCTGCCTCCACAGCAGGGCGTACATTGAAGATTCCCACGCTATAGATACTCCGCCTATGGACAACTTGGGGAAAGGAAAGTTGTTTTTTTCTTTAGGTGGTGGGGGGGGGGAGAGGGAAATGTGGTAGGAAGTTAGGATGGCCTAGTGATATGGCAGGTAGGATGGGGGAAGCAGAGAATGACCAGAAAAGCAAATCCCGAGGGATTGTGCTATCCAGCACAAATTCTTCCCAAAGGCAGGACGTGCCCTGTCCTACATTCCCAAACGTGAGTGAAAGAGCTGAACAGCTTGGATTGTTCTAACACATAACATCAACTTTACAGTGTCGGACTTCGCTGGCCTATAAATGACCTGCGTTAGCGAAAAACCTGTTCAGCTCACCCCATGGTGTTAAAACTGTTTGAGATGTTGGTTGAATCTCGTTCAAGGTTTGGTAAAAATTCTCCCAGCTATTTTTTTCGGGTAAAAAATTGCCCATGAGTACATGCTCATGATTGTAACATTCAATTGTTGTCTAGACCATGAAGCCCGGCTGCTTATGAGTAACCAGTTTGGCTAACGCGCAGTACTGCGCGCTCAGGGGTTTTTCTGCGGAGCACAACATGTCCTAATTCCCATTTTTCGAAATACGGCCCATTTCATCGTATTTTTCCCTTTCAATGAACATTTACCAATGACTGGCGCTTATCACATTTTTGACAACACTCGCCATTCGTTGGAAATAGGACAGCCTAGCGGTTGGAAGAGTCTCGAGGGTAATAACATCGATATCATGGTGAAATGTCCTCACATCCTAGTACATCATTTGAGCAGCTTTCGGGGCTTTTACTTTTTGTTGACACTACAGTTTAGCGGTCGAATCAAATCCGACTATATCGCCAAGGGATAGAAACATAGGAACATGTTGGCTCACTGAACCTTTGCCCACTGATTCGTTGGCCACGGTGATTTGAGAATATACGACTCCTAAAAGCCCTTGTCAGACACTATCAGAACTTATCTCCCACTACTAATTTTACCTAAGCCTGAATTACCTACTGAAAGCAATAGTCCAGTAATCCACAACTATGCTGTGAATTTTTCCAACGTCCTGTCGTCGCCGCGGCCGGCGCTATGACTTTGGTGACTCTCCCCTTGTAAGGCTCCTCATGGTATCTTATCAGCCGTTATCACTTCCTGCCACCCACCAATGATGTTCCCATCTTGCCCATAATCCTACTTCTTGGAACCAAAGTCCTAGCGTCGCTGTGACGCGCGTTATGGAGATGGTGATCCTTCCCTTCTAAGGCTCCTCATGTTATCTTATCAGCTGTTATCACGTCCTGCCACCTACCAATAGTGTTCCTGCCCGACCTCCTACATCACCTATCAATTTGAGCGCTCTT